ACTTACATGTGATTACTATTTCTAGTTACGTTTTGTACCAAACTTAGATTCGTATTGTGTGTTTATTTTAGTTGTGCTCGAGTACTCCATGATAGTTGTAGGTAAGGTTTTAGTTTGTGTGTGTGTGTGTGTGTGTGTGTGTGTGTGTGTGTGTGTGCGCGCGCAGTGCGTGACACTGCGTGTGTACTTGTACAGTGTATAAATTTTTCATACTTATTGCAGATTAGTAGAATGGTAGTTGATCTACATGATTTTACAATAATACTGAACTTTATCTTCCCTTACTTAACCTCAGTCATACATCTCAGTACATACATCCGCGTCTGCCCCTGAATGACGAAGTTTAACTTTAAATCTCAATTTACGCTGTCTAACGGACAGGGGGTCTTACCAACCCTTTCACAGAGTTCTATCCCTGTCTGTCCTGTCCTAAGCCGGGACCCCAAACCTTTTGTAGTTACTAGAAGGTGAGTCATCCTCATCATGGTTCTGAATCTAGGACAGTTCTGGATATAGCAGGTTTCTGGATACAGAAGGGTTCTGGATAAAGCATGGTTTTGGATACATACAGAAGGCCCTTTACCCACATACATTTTCACAGAGATCCCTGCCATGTCCTAAGCTGGGACCCCAAACCTGTTGTAGTTACTGGAAGGGTTCAGGTTATTGTCATCATGGCTCTGGATATAGCACAGTTCTGGATACAGCATGGTTCTGGATATCGCTGGGTTTTGGATAAAGCATGATTATGGATTACGTATAGTATGGTTCTGGATATAGCACAGTTCTGGATATAACACAGTTCTGGATATAGCACAGTTCTGGATATAGCACAGTTCTGGGTTCTGGATAAAGCATGATTATGGATTACGTACAGTATGGTTCTGGATACATACAGAAGGGCCTTTACCCACATACATTTTCATAGCAATCCCTTCCCTTTCTACACAGGAACCCCAAACCTGTTGTAGTTACTAGAAGGTGAGTCATCCTCATCATGGTTCTGAATCTAGGACAGTTCTGGATATAGCAGATTTCTGGATATAGCTGGGTTCTGGATAAAGCATGAGTATGGTTTACGTACAGTATGGTTCTGGATACATACAGAAGGGCCTTTACCCACATACATTTTCACAGCGATCCCTGCCTCTCCTAAGCGGGGACCCCAAACCTGTTGTAGTTGCTCGAAGGCGAGTCGTCCTCGTCCAGCCAGCACTGGTACTTTGCACAGATGACGCAGCTGGTCGCGATCAGGCAGGCCAGGAGCAGCGAGGGCCAGAACATCACGTGGAAAATCGTCATGGAGCCATAGTCCTTCCTCAACAGAACCTCCTGGAGACACAATTAAGGAAGGAAAGAAAACATTGTGAGCGAAGAAACCTACCCCCCAACCACCCCCAAGGGACATAAATTTTTCAAGCTGATCAACCTTTTCTAGCTCCAAGTGAGTGATGAAATGTTGTAGTCAGTTTTCCAACACTGACATTGAAAATAAAAGTGTCCTCAAAAAGTTTTACTTTGTTATGTAATGTCATAAGTTCAATCACTTGAGATTGCCAATTAAAAGTCTACTAAACAAAGACAGGCCATGAGGTCATATGGCGTAGCCACAGAGATCTCAACACTGAACCAAGAGGTCCCAGGTTCAAGTCCTGACAAGCCACCGATCTTGTGCCCTTGGACTTTCCTCACTTCGCTCAGGTGAAAATGAGTATTGCATATATTGTCCCGTGTTGGTGGCATCATCAATATAAGTTGAAAAAACTTGAGTGTGCCGTCACCATGTCTTGTGATTAGATGCTGGAATAAAAAAAAAGACAAAATATTCCTACCGACTGACCCTAATTTTTTCAGGACTAAGGATAATAATAAAAAGAAAACCTACATTTTCCTTCCCAGGGTTGTAGAAGCAGGAGTAGGTTTGCCCAACTTGTCCGTATTTCTCCTCAAACCGGCTCACAGCGTCGTAGTTCAGCTCCTCGCTACGGCTGCAGCTGTGGTACGAACACTACAAACAAACAAACAAACAAATAAACAACATCATCATGTACAGTATTGTGTAATACTATAGAAAAAAATCAAGACATCACATCTTCCACTGTCACCTCTGATCAAAAATCAAAGCATCATTCTTTTTGGCAACGTCTCAGGGAGGAGCCTAATGGTACAGTATTGTGTGCAGTTTACAAGAATTCTAGGAATGGCATTTTGTCCACAGGCATGGAATGGCCACAGGAATGTTTCCCAGCTCTGTTCGCTCACACACATCTATGGACACATTCCTGGAAACCCTTGGAAAACTTGTCTGCCCCGGATGGCCCAACTTTCTGTGACCCCGGGGCTCGTTCACTCAGGAGAGGAGTGTACACTATCTGTCTAGACTTAACAGGTACCAAGTCTTCCTCAAAATAATGCCTTGCCATGCAAACAATAACCCTAACAGTAACAGCAACCATCGTCGCCATGACAATGTATGTTTTCATTGCCAGTCTTGTTGCTTTTACATAACAATTTTTTTTTACCATGCTCCACTGGTCCAGCTCCCCTTCGTCATCGTGGATCATTCCGGTCGCCGAGCCGTTCTTCCTGTCGTGGTAGGTTACCATGACGACCAGGCATGGCATCTGCGTGTAGCAGTTTCGTCCACAGCTACAGTCCACCGGATTCTCTACAATTATCAATCAATCAATCAATCAATCAATCAATCAATCAATCAATCAATCAATCAATGAAGTTTATTGCAAATTCGTGCCCGGAGGCTTATTGCAAATTACAAACATAAAAGAACATTGAAACAGAGTATAAAATAACTAAAATCTACATGATAAAAGGTGGTTGTCTAGAGCTATAGCTATGTCTAAGACTATATCTAAGGGGTTTGACTTCTCCTTTTTAGACCATGGAAGACGTAATGTCCCACCTTTTCCAAAATTAGTGGGTTTTAGGAAGTTAAAAGAAGAATAGCTTTTTCTTTGTCTGTAAGCTTAGTAAAATTGGGATAAATTGTAGAAGTTTGAATAATCAACTCATTTCGAGCGTTGCTATCATATCCAGTTGTTTGAGTAACTGCTTTTTGCCGTATCAAATTGGTGTGGCCTAAAATGAAAAAGAAAACAAACTTACTATAGTCAGCACTGGTGACTGTACATGTTGTTGGTTTGAACGCTCGACCGTAGATGGCAGGTTTGACAATGAGAATCCCGAGCATGATGATCAGTGCCACAGAAATGAACATCCCCGTACAGAGCAGCTTTCTGCAGATAGTGTGCTTTCGCTCTGGACTCAAGTTATCGCAGCAACCCATGGTGGACCTGTGAGTTACAGGATATAAGAATAAAATTACTTTGCATTGGTAGAGTGTACACTACAGTGTTAGCCTTGCATTGCATTGGAATGGAGGATTGTCTCTGTGCACACTGCAGCTTTTGGCAGATGGCGTGTTTACGCTCGGGTGACAAGTTCTCACAACATCTCATGGTGAACCTGGAAGTTACAGGATATAAGTCAGTTACTTTGCAGTGGTAGAGTGTTAGCTTTGCATTACATTTGGACTTAGAGAAAAGTTAGACTTTAGAGGATCAGGATTGTCCCCGTACAGAGCAGTTTTCTGCAAATGGTGTGCTTTCGCTCAGGACTCAAGTTCTGACAACAACCCATGGTGGACCTGCAAGTTATAGGATATAAGAATATTAACTTTACTCAGTTACTTTGCAGTGGTAGAGTGTTATATGTATCTTGTGCAGTCTTCATGTGAACCTCCTTATTGCATAATTAATCTGCTTGCCATAATTTATCAACATCCTTGTGAGTTCGTTACAAGCTCTACAAATTACTGTTGTGTACTTCATCATTTTACCTGAAAATAAAACAAGAAGCCATAGGCGACAATTCTCCGTGAAGTATTATATATTGCAACAAAAAGAAGTAGCCATTGGCGACAATTCTCTGTGAAGTGTGATAAATCGAACAAAGAAAAATTGTTTAAACGCGCGTCGGCTCAGTCATCTTAAGACGCAACAACCAATCAGAGATGCGAGATGCCTACACGTGACGCGGGAAGGGCGCGCGATGCCCGAAATATTTTTGCGTCAATATTCAGCGCCGTGATTCAAGAGATTAATACCCGGAAACAATTTTTTTCTTGTTTTGAACGCATTAACATGCATTTACGCTAATCTAGTATGATTCAGGGTTACTTTTTTTTAACCTGCCATGGCCAGATTATCTAAAAGATGTGTGTATTGTGTGTACAATCTATAGAAAGAGAAATGTACATCAGGTCCGATCATCCGATTTTCACGTTTCGGTTTTTTGGACTCGGTTCATGAACGTATTTTGGTTTGGCTCCTGGAATGTGCAAAAAAATGACTCCCGGGACTGTCTACAGGGAACACTCGCACATTCGCGGTTTATCAGGACAGCGCGACTGGTCGTCATTAGCGCAGTAACAGTTGCATAAACGGACGAAACCATTTCAAAGAAATGGGGATGTTTCGAAAATAAGCATTTACTCTAATATCAAAACAGCTACGGTAAAAATAAAAAGACGTGCATCATCCCGGACATAATGCAACACCACATGCGAAATTACACAGAAATGCGACGTACGGAAGAATGCGTTTTGGCTGCGAACATCTTCCAAAAAACTTGGCATCTCTTAACCATGGGCAAAAACATCTGGAACCACTTATAAAAACCACCCCGTATCTGCATGAACTTTTTTGAACCCCACTGCTATTCCAAACAACGCGTTTTTCTGGACCATTCCAATTCGCCTCGTAATTGTAGAGGTGCGTCTGCGATATTACATTGACCGCGAAAGCAGCAACGGCAAAAATACACATTCGTGCATCAACACGGGCATGCCCGCAGACGGCGTATAAAATTGCGTGCCGATTACACAAAGAGAACCCAGTGTTTTGACTGCGAACATGAAAAATCAGCCGATTACAACACTCCGTCCGGAGGTCCTGACCTCCTTCACGGAGTAATTATTCTGTGTCGTGAGAACATCGTAATCAACATAATTTGAAATTTATTATTTATCGTGGATGCTGGTTCTGTCTGGCGTTCTTTTGCCCATTTACACATACACAATCTTTCGTTTTTGTATAAAGAAAGAACATCGCTGCATGTCACATTTCTGTTGGTAATTATAACTTCGCTCTAAACATCCCGAATGCATGACAGAATCGAGAATCTACGCCATTTTTCTTTCCCTTTACAAGATGGCCAAACGCCAAAACACATCACTTGCGTGCCGGCTGAGTTTCCCTGCCTAAAATACGTACCTCTACGCTCTCTGTGGCCTCCTTGTTTGCACAATGACAAGTTCCAACACTGCTGTACCTCTGGGCACGATTCTACTGGCTGACACGATCACACAATCGCAGGAAAGCTGTGAATACAAACAGTAACACGCACACGAACAAGGCTTTCTGTGCTAAATTATATCGTGGGTAGGGCTAGTACATCATATATTGCGTCACATCCGGAAAAGTATGGGTTCTGCATGGGTGTTGCGAAATGTTTAAAATCGTCTCACGTGAAAAAGAATGAAAGAAAAGAATTCGGAATGGATTTATGGCAAGTATTTTGGCGTAATTTCGTGGATTTTGTGAACGCAGTCACCTTTTAGAGCGGAAGGCAATATAGACTTGTCAAAAAGCGGGTTTCTTGTAAACCTCTTACATAGCCTTGGTGGTGCATCTGTTCAGACTGGTCCAGACTTGCATCCTCCAAAGATGTGGGGATGAGATGACATCAGATTTAAGGTTAGTGAACACTGTTCCATCATGCCTTCAAGTTCTAACAAAACTGCTGGTAACATCTGTGTCCATAATATCGCCACCTTGAGAAAAAGATGCTTAAAGATATTTTTACTGCAACATAGGACTCGGGTGTACTGCCTCAGGTATGTACATTTGATGTGTGCTTAGGAGTGCATACCAAAAGTATGTTGCAGTAAAAATATCTTAAAGCACACTGTTTCTGAAGGTGGCGATATTATATGGACCCTGGTGATATTATGGACACGTATGTTAGATAGAATTCAATATAAAATCGTAGTCTCCTGATGATGCCACTGACTAACAAATTTTGCTAAAGAGAAACAGTAATATCTTAGCCAAATAGGGAAAATGATTCCTAGGGCAGTTTGGCCACCTTTCATAGTGTTTATTTGACGGAATAATGAATGGAAGATTTATTTTACTAGCAAATATATTATTAATAACGTATGGACATGAGTGTCAATCAAAGTGAGTGTTAATATTCTTTATTCAAACAATGGTCAGCGTGGCAGCAGTGCATAAAAATCATGGACCGCTGAATTGTGCTGACCTTTAATACATTGTAAAATACAATGTCGGCACGAACAAAACATACAAATTCTCGACACCAACATGGGAAGTTTCTGGGAATAGAACTAAGAAAATGTCGAGGTAAAATGAATATCCTAAAATTAGCAATGCAGTTCATCATATATTTAATGGATAAAGTTTGTGACATTAATTTTGTATCCATGTGATCCTGATATTGTAATATTTACTGAAGAAAGGTAGTAGATAGTACTACTTGAAACGTCTGACCGTTGTCAAAATCTTATAATCCAGTTGCTTGAGTAACTGTTTCTTTGTGTATCTCATTACCTGGATATCTAACCTTCATCGAGTCGACATAATGTCAATTATCATTCTTTTTTTTTTATTTATTCATTTATTACGATTGACCACATACATACCGGTAATATACATGGAGGGCATGGCCACAAATAAATATACAATCTTCATACGAAGAGCTAATTTCAGGATGTCGGACCCGGGGGTCTGTGCAGAGACGGTACAGAAGTCGAAGACTGTGCAGAGGTGGGAGACGGTGGAGAAGTGCGCCGGTTTCCTGGCGTTGATCTCCGTCTGTGTGCTGATCCTGACCGGCGCTCTGGTCGTGCATCCTGTACTGCAGGGGTCCACGCTGTCCTACCGTCCTGCCACCTGCACTACAGCATACAGCTACAAGGCCGGTCTGTACTATCTGTATCTGTATAGCCGGTATAACCGCCTGTCGGGGTAACACACCAGCTTCACCCCTAACCCTATCACCCTAACTCTAATCCTAACCCTATCACCCTAACTCTAACCCTAACCCTGACCCTGACCCTGACCCTAACCCTAACCTTACCGTCCTGCCACCTGCACCACTGCCTACAGCTACAAGGCAGGTCAGTACAGCTGTTTCATTTTCAGGAGGGTCTGTATGGGGGGTCAGGGGAGTGATCCTGACCGGTGCGCTGGTCGTGCATCCTGTACTGCAGAGGTCGACGCTGTCCTACCGCCCTACTGTCTGCACAACCGCCTACAGCTACAAGGCCGGTCAGTACTAATCCTATTACTCTAACCCTTATAACCCTAGCCCTAGCCCTAGCCGTTATCCCTAGCCCTAGCCCTAGCCCTAGCCCTAGCCCTAACAGTATCCCTAACTCTAACCCTAACCCTAACCCTACCGCCCTACTGTCCGCACCAATGCCTACAGCTACAAGGCCAGTCAGTACATGACTAGTACATATTCCTAACCCTAACCCTAAACCCAACCATTTGCATAGCTATTGCGTAACCCTAAACCTAAGCCTAACCCCGGTACCCTAACCCTAACCCTACCGCCCTACTGTCTACACAATGGCATACAGCTACAAGGCCGGTCAGTCTACTTCCTAACCTATATGTATACCCTAACCCTACCATCCTGCCACCTGCACCACCGCCTACAGCTACAAGGCAGGTAAGTACAGCTATGTCATTTTCAGGAGGGTCCAGAGCCGACACTGACCCTATGTGTTTGGAGACGAAGAAGAAGAAGAAACAAACTTTTCCTTCTGCAAAGGTATCAGTGACAATGGCTAAAAGACCCAGGCCGGCATAATAAAATAAGGCGTGATGACAGGCGTCTGTCACCATGGTAACTGGTGCTGTGGCAGACACCCTGTGGTGTTGGGTAACATTATGTAGCAAGTGGCAGGACAGAGTTGGAGGGGCTGGTTACCATACATATTCATGACCATGTTTGAGTAAGGATAAACAAAGCAGTTAAGTTTATTAAGCTAGACCATGTAAAGGTGAACATTATGCATAGTGCTTTGCAGAATGTTACCTTTGTAGTTTACATTCGAGTTATTAAGAAATTTGCAGGTAGATATAAAATGAGCTTTTATGTCCCTTGTCAGGAGGTGAGCAGTGCCACTGCGGGAAGAACTGCAGGTCGGTCGCACGCTGTCTGGTCGTCATGGTAACGATCAACTCCAGCAGCCCCGTCCTGCTGGTACAGAGTGAGGAGGTCATGCGTGTGTCAGACCAGGTACCATCAATGTAATCTCCAAGCAGATCCTTGGCCGTAAAAGACAATATAAAACTAGAGAAGTAACATTTGCTAAGCAAATGCATAATGTTTACCTTCGGACATGGTCTGCCCTGTTAATTTTTACTCAAACACAGTTCATATATATGTACTACGAGTATATGGTGACAGGAGTAGAGCAGACCATGGAATTGCAACATTAACCCAACACCAGTCACCATGGTGACAGACGTCAACAAATCATGTCATTGGCCAGGTCAGAGGTTAGTCTTTGGAACAGAAGAGGAAGAAACAGAGTAAAAACAATATGTTTTCCTTGGAAACTTAAAAATTGGCATGGCAGTATCCATTAGCCAGAGGAGTGTCCAATATTAGCCACCGGGTGGCCAATGGATACTGCCTGGCCAATTTGATACTGTCTTTTAGGGCCAAGGAAAGACCTGCTTGGAGATTACTGTAAACCTTCTAATATTCGCAGTGTTGGCCACAGGAATCTAATTTATTGGTTCTCATTTTCGCAAGCTTAATTTTTTTTCCTGATTTTTTAGAAAAAAGTACCTGCCAGTTGTTGACTTTGTGGCTCTTACTGTATCGTTTGGAGGTACTGCACAATGCCTTTACGGCTTTGCCACTGAAAGATCTTAACATTTTCCCCTCCAGTGTTCCCTGTACTACTGCCTGCGTGACAGAGGCTACATGGACCGACTGATGGAGGAGTTTAAGGAGGAGTATGGACAGCACGGACAGACGTATCCGTGCCTATACAACCCACACGACCCACAGGTAAGCACTGTACACACACACACACACACACACACACACAAACACACACACTCGCACACACACACACACAGACACACACACACACACTCACACAGTCACTCACACACACACACTGACACACACACTCACACTCACACACACTCGGGTACACACAGGTACACACGGGTACATTCGGGTACACTCGGGTACACACAGGTACACTCGGGTACACTCGAGTACACTCGGGTACACTAAGGTACACTCGGGTACACTCGGGTACACTCAGGTACACTGAGTGTACACACAGGTACACTCGGGTACACTCGGGTACACACAGGTACACTCAGGTACACTCAGGTACACTCGGGTACACACAGGTACACACGGGTACACTCGGGTACACTCGGGTACACACAGGTACACTCGGGTACACTCGGGTACACTCGGGTACACTCGGGTACACTCAGGTACACTCAGGTACACTGAGTGTACACACAGGTACACACAGGTACACTCGGGTACACACGGGTACACTTGGGTACAATCGGGTACACTCGGGTACACTCGGGTACACACAGGTACACACAGGTACACTTAGGTACACTCGGGTACACACAGGTACACTCAGGTACACTCGGGTACACACGGGTACACTCGGGTACACTCGGGTACACTCGGGTACACTCGGGTACACACGGGTACACTCAGGTACACTCGGGTACACTCGGGTACACACGGGTACACTCGGGTACACTCGGGTACACTCGGGTACACACGGGTACACTCGGGTACACACGGGTACACTCGGGTACACTTAGGTACACACAGGTACACACAGGTACACTTAAGTTTTCCAGTGCATTGCTACAGTTGTATTGCCTTACCTATATAGGCTTTTAGACAGTCAGTCTTTCCTCATTGGAGTTTGTTCTGTCCCTTCTGCTGTCCAGAAAGTCATGCTGGAACGTATCTACAACAAGTGGTCCATCTTCCATGCGCTGTTCTGGGCAGGGATGACCTTTGTACTGTCCTGTTGCTGTTGCCTGTGTGTTCCCGGAGGACTGGCCCGGAAACAGCAAACACCAACGGGATTAGCCAGCATGCATGGACAGCAAACGACCTTGGGGTAACCTTGATGCTGTCTTCGTGCTGTTGCCTGTGTGTTCCCGGAGGACTGGCCCGGAAACAGCAAACACCAACAGAAGTGAGTGGAGTAGCCAGCATGCATGGACAGCAAACGACCTTGGGGTGACTTTGATGCTGTCCTCGTGCTGTTGCCTCTGGGTTCCCGGAGGCCTGGCCCGAGGACAGCAAACACAGAAGTGGAATAGTCAGCATGGACAGCAAACATCCCTGAGGCGACCTTGGTGCTGTTCTGCTGCTGTTTACATGTGGTTGCCGGGACAGCAAATGACCAAAATCAACAAAATTCATCTTCTATCATGACTACAACCCTTACTTGAAGTAATCTTTTCTGGTAGGAGTATGGATTCACTGGACCAAAAAGTTGAACTTGCCATCAGTCCTTCGTTTGTTGCAAAAAAATTGTTTTATTCATTGCAAAAGATAAACAAAAACATGACACACTGTACAAAAAATCTAAAAAATAACTTACCTTAACAAAACACTTCAAAAACACAGCTTCAAGAAGCCTAAAAAAGGGGGCAACAAATCTTCAGCAGTCTATCGCTGCCTTCATTCAAAATATTTTACAAAACGATATTTTCCTAAGTGTTGAAAGTTTATAGCCTCTACCAGCTTGAGGAGGCGGCTGGAAAGAGTAGAAATCAGCCAAATAGAGAGCTAAGCATGCCAAGGGAGTTTGTCCGTTGAGAGAACATGTGGCAAAATGTTCTCTCAACGGACAAACTCCCTTGGCATGCTTATCTCTCTATTTGGCTTATTTCTACTCTTTCCAGCAGCCTCCCCAAGCCTGGTAGAGGCTAGAAAGTTTATGCACTATTACAGTTTGTAGCTGGTGGTCACTGTGAGTTAGTGCCCTCTGTTGACCATTCTGAAAACTACAGCTAACATAAACCTTTGAAGAGATTTGTGTTCTCTTTAATTGCATCAGTTGATTTGGTTGTATCTGGTGTTCTTCGCATTTCTACATTTTTCAATCGTACAGTATTGCACAAGAGAGCGAAAAGGTGATAATAAATAGCTAAATCATTTTCTTCCTCTATTATATAATATTTGGATGTCTAGTATCCTCTTACTGTTTTCAGAGACATATTCAACAGATTCCACGTATCAGGTAAGGTTTTTTCTTCGTATCAATGAAGCTCACAGCTATATTCAATCAATCAACCAACCAATCAATCAATCGATCACTATGATATTGCAGATATTTTCCCTAACTCCTATAAATACTAGTAGTTGATCATCTGATCTATCCTTCTTGGTCTCCATCTAAATTTCCTTATAATCAATCAATACATTGCCATGACAATTCTAAAAGTTGTCACACTATTTCCTACAATATGTTCATTTGTATAAATATATTATATACTATCATGTAATATAATATTATAGGTGCTGTTATGTGGTTGATACTGTTTGCTAGTACTTATACTACTAGCAGATGTTTTCAGTTGAAGATACTTCAGTTGGCTCTATATGTATATTTTACTTTATACTATTGGGTATATGTATGTATCTTACTGTTATACATTGTATATACTACCTGTATGTAGTGTGATGTACATGTATATGTATGTATGGTAAGTCCTCTATTGAACACTTGGTTAACTACAGTAAAGGCTTAGATTTTAACCAGTACTGGTTGGTTGGTTTGTCCTGTTGTCAATTATCAGCAATGCTTAAGTGCCAAAACCATTGCTTAGAAATACACATAAAGGATGCTCAACTGTGTGTGACTTGTGTAAGATTAGATACTGGTAGTACAGCAGGTCCCCCTGTCAACCAGTTTGAGAACTGCAGCAGAGATTTGTGCTCTGGCTATCTATTTAATACTATTCTTTTCTGTAATATATTATTCACTTAGTTCCTTTGTCTGTCTGTAGCTTCCAATGTTGTTTTCAATTTCTCATTTGGACCAGTACTTCCTTGTGCATGTGGTTTGGGCCATGCCATTTACGATGAGGGGTGTCACTCCTACTAGTTTGGACCGTTCCATTCTTGACGAGGGGTGTTGTTTCTTAGTGTTGCTTCTCGTGTTTCTCGACCTCCTCCTCCACGACCTTGGCCATGAAGTAGATGTCCGCCATGGCAACCATGGTTGCTAGGATGATGCCCGTCATTACTCTCTGTAGACAAACAAACAAACAAGTAAACAAACTAGAAAAAATGAATACTGTTTACTTTCACATTGCTGTAAGTTAAAACTTTAGATCCAACACAAAAAAAGTTCTCTCACCTAAAGCTTTCGACCAGTCACTCTGGTCTTCCTCAGTAGACTGACCCAGTGAGACTTGTCACGTGGCTTCTTTGAAGTGTGATGTCAACACTGATTAGTGTGACTACAGTGTAGTAAACAAACTAATGCTTTGTTTATTCTTAATTATACATGTTCATAATATGGTGACCTGCCCCTCTGTCCTGCCACTTGCTACATAATGTTATATAATTGTGTCGTTCGTCCGTAAAGCGGTCCTCGTCAACCTGACGGACGAACGACACAATGTGATCCAACACCACAGGGTATCTGCTACAGCACCAGCCTGGTATGTTGACTTCATGGCTCCTATCATAGCATTTGGGGCTATCAGAGCTCATGCCTAGGTTTTTCCACCTTCTTATTTTTAAAGAAAAAAATTGAGAACCAACAAATTAGATTGGTGTGGCCTAAGCATAGAAAAAGTCTCCGTAAATAATTTCATCAGGTTGGTAAACGAATGAATAGCAAAGTTGAGTGAGGAGTGTTTCAGAATTGCCCTGATGAAGATGACAGACGGTCATCAAAACGTCGGCTCGTGAAAATAAAATGGTTGTGATAAAAGAACTTTGCTATTCATAGAGAAAGTCTGTTCAAGTTGTTATACTTACCAGAGTGACAGAGGCCCCGAAAGCGTACTCAGATCCCACGTAGCCGAAAGTGAAAGCCGCCGCTACAGAAACCATGAAGTTGATCAGAGCCATGAGGTACACTTTCACTTCCTTAGCTGGGAAGGGAAAGGAGGAAACTAAGATGTTGGTGTGAAGCTATAGGATTTAGTATGAACACAGAAAATCACTGTCAATGCACTACAAGAGTCATTATTAGTGTAAATGTGGAGATGGTTAGTTTGAACACAGAAATCAGTATGTAATACTATGTATGGAAACAAGATACATGTATATTCATAAATTCATAAGGGAAAGACACAAAATCAGTGTGAACATGCAGTAAGTACAATCCATGTAGATATACTATGCATTGTGATGTGAATGCAGAAGCATACATACAATTTTTTTTCTTCAATACAGTTTGAAACAAAACAACGGGCTACAAAAAAAGGAGGTTAACGTACGTGACACGTCATCATCACCATCTTTACACGAACACAGAAAACACCAAACAGAGAAAATTCAAACCAGAAAAACACATTTTTTCAACTAAAAGTTCAATATTAAACTCAAACAAGCTCATTGAAATTTGACAATTTTTAATTGCTTGAGACATTTGAATCATTCAGTGTTAACTCACCTTCAGAGCCAAACTCTGACAGCCCCTGTCCAGATTTCTGTGAAGTACAACATGGTAATACAAATGTATTTAAAGTCGCAGGACCATATGCATGTACTACTAAGCTTACAATGCTATAACACTGTACAGTACTAAACGACTTCCAACTGAGTGTGATGCATTATAAACTAAGGCTCTCTTACAACAAACTTATATTAGTAAATGTTATATATCATTCACAAAATGTATGTATACAATATTATATGTATAATATACATGTATGTATGATGTATATTCTTCTTCATGGTCTTACGAGACCGATGAAATGTCTACATGTATGATGTCCAGGACCCCACTGTAAAGCAGTGTATGACACTGAGATCGGCCCATCTGGCTAGAGAAACAAAAACATTGACAAACACACAAACCCACCTTGCCCATGTCACGTGTCATCTGCGCATACTGCCTGTTCTCCTGTTCTCTCTTCAGCCGCTCCAGTCTCGCTACAAGCTGAGGGTTCTGCAGAAAAGGAAAAAAAACAAACATCACATGTTAGTTTGATCAATTTTGACCATAGTTAAGTCCTAACTGACATCAGCCCTACAACTCAAGTATGGCTGAACAGTCTCATAGGAGAATGACAGTCTCTGCCACATAGGGCGTATCTGTAAGCTGTCTCGAGTCTGTTGCAGAGTTCTTTTCTCTGGGTCCACTTCTCTTAAATTCTGTGCAGTGCATCAGTCTAGCTTCTGACCTGATTACCAGAAGTACTAAATCTAGCAGAAGTAGTAGATTTCCCGTCCACACCCGAATGTTTTTATTACGTTTGAAGCATTTGGCAGTACAGTAGTGGACGTGACCACAGCCAACCTTGCTGCCTTGTACCTACTTCTAATTACATTGTACCATTGGGAGTTTGGCAATGTTCAGGATGCCATGTTCCGCTGTGACATGATTTTTAAAAACGATGCCCCCTGGAATATGACATGTACATTGTAGATCACTGTTGTTGAAGTGTGCCTTTAGATAATCCCTGAGGTTATTTCTAGTGTGAAAAGGCCAAATATCAGAAATAGGGGGTCTGCTGCCCATATTTCACTGTAGGGCTCACCCGTGCCTACGGTGGATGCTGTTGCTAAGCAACGGGACGAGGAGCTGGGTGATTGACAGGTACCACATCCAGATGGAACACGAGTAAGGTCAGGGGTCAGGGCAGTGATGATGACATATGAACTCCTGATCATGATGGAACGTGACATGATGTGGTTGCCTGGCAACCACGAGGAGGAAGAATTGCTGTGAAGCATGTCTCCCTTGGTTGCCATGGTGACAGCATCATGGCCAACAGCCAGCATGGAGACATTTAAAACCACATGATGTGGTTGCCAGGCAACCATGACAGTCTTTGTCTAAATCATTATATAGAGTTATACTGTAGTCTGGTACATCTGGAAAAAATGAGTCTTGGTGATATTTCCGGAGGATGGAACTCAAAATGTTAGTGTCTCAGGTGACACATAGTCATGATATTAACCTTCACTCTGCTAAGGTAGCCATTTGGTGTCAAATTTGCAAAGGTTTTATACATGTATGCAGCAGCTGGTAGAAGGTTAATTCACTGGACCTTTGGGAAGAACAGTTTATGTCAACAGCTAGTTGTGTGTGATGACAAACTCACCGAGAGACAAATATCCGAGTGCAGAAAATACCCTGCCCAAAAATCTTAGATGGAGAACAAAGAGGGCCATTCACAACTGACTGAGTATTGACAACTTAACATGGGTATTAGGCTATCAGCCTAGCCCAAGGGGGGTGTTTTAAGAGCCACCAAACTCCTACATATTTTTAAGTGTCGAGTTTGCCTGAGGGTGTACTGGCTGAAACATCTCAGTTTTCAATCTAACACCCAGGATAACCCTTAATAACAACATCTGGGTGGCTACACAGCATTTTACTGACTGTTGATTATGTAGGGATGCAAGGAGAACTTGTAAAACCAAACAGTAATGGGTACAAAAGACCCTAATAATGTGGGCGTGAGGCAACCCCAAATTGTTTAGAGTTAGCAACTATAGTTGAGCAGGCAGTTGAGTTGCCCTAAAGGGGACTTTCCCTTTCAATAACCTGACCTGTTAACCCTTGCTGGGTTAGTTAGTCCGGTTAGCAGCAGGTGAAGACAACAACTATGGCTGCCGGACTCTCCAGCTTGGGAGACCAGATAGGGGAAGAACTGTCCTGCAGCATCTGCCTGGAGCTGTTCACCAGGCCCAAGGTGCTGCCCTGTCAGCACACCTTCTGTCAGGACTGTCTACAGCACCACCAGGGGGGTGGGGAAGGCTTCCCCTGCCCCAGATGTCACTGCGAGGTGAAGACACCACCCCAGGGGCTTGCCGGCTTGCCAGACAACACGCTAGTTGCGAGTCTTTGCGAGCGTGTAAAAAATCAGCAGCAACTGCCTAAGATTCAGGAGGAATCGAGCGATAAACCGGCTGGCATCAACTGTAGCTTCCACTCTTCAGAGCACCTCAGGCTATTCTGCAAGCCATGCAAGGTACTGTACATATACTGTACAAAATATACTGTACATATATTGACACTGTACACAACTGTGCTGTTACTACTGTACATGACTCACCACAGTTGGTGGTTATGAACTTTTGTGTAGTGCCCACAATTAGAGCTGTAAACCTACTAGACAAAGTACATTTTAACAGGTGCATCTGTGTAGTGTTACTTTCCTCAAACTTGGTATTATACCAATCAAATATACTTAAGAGTCAATGACTTGAAATTACATTTCAACCTGACAACCAGATAACAATCGACTTATTATCATATTTGCAGAAATGTCGCAGGTGGTCACAGGAATGACTGTATATCAGTCAACAGGTGGCCCTTGTATAGAGTCTGACAAAGAGGTGGTCACTAGTACATGTGTACATTTGTATGTACCAGTATGTAGGTTTGATTGTGCACCACTATCAATGGTCAGGTGGTCATCATGAGGTGGTCATTAGTACATGTACAGGTTTGACTGTTGGGTATCTTGTTTCTTTAAGGCACCAATATGTCTGGAACCAAGTAATTGGTGAACTCGTGCAAATCAACATATTCTATAGAAATGTGGCAGGGGCTGAACTGTATGATGGTTTATCAGTACTCAAAGTACTAGTGACTACGTGGTCCTGATATAGTCTCTGAGGTGATCACTATGTTTGACTGTATGGTAACGTTACATGTATCTAATGTCTTAAAGGTGCCGATCTGTCTGGAGTGTCTGGAAGACGCTCACGACGGCCACGTCACCACCACGCTGAAAAAAGCAGCGCAGGAGCGCTCGGCTGTTGTCCAGGCCGTCGTCATGACAACCCGCGACCTTCTCGACGCTCGCTTCACGCTCCTGCGATCGCTGCGCCATGCGGAGAAAACCCTGCACGAGCAACGGGAGCAGGCGAACGCCAGCATCACCGACGCTTATAACAAGGTTTGTTGTGCTATCATGAAAGTTCATCTGTGTTGATTCTTACGTGTTTAAAGCTAAAACCTTAGATCCAACACAATACAGTTCTCTCACTCAAAGAAGCCATGTGACAAGCTTCACTGGGTCAGTCTACTGAGGAAGACCAGAGTGACTGGTCGAAAGCTCTACATGTAGGTGAGAGAACTTCATTGTGTTGGATATTTAGAATAACTTTAAACAAGGTTTGTTGTGTTTTAATTACTTTTGCAGAAGAAAAACATATTGTTTTTGCTGTGGTTCTTCTCAAAATGTAACAGGTCAATGACCTGGATCAGACGGTTGTCACAATGCATGGTAACTGATGCTGCATCAGACACGAAGACATTATGTAACAGGTGGCAGGACAGAGTTGGAGGGGCTGGTCACCATATGTACATGTATGAATGTGTTTGAGTATGAGTATGTGAACAGTATGTATTTGCTTTGAAAAATGATACCTTTTAATTTTAAAAATTTTACAAAACTATAGTCATACATTCTGTCACCAGGTGCTCCAGACGATCACTGAATCAAGAGAACAGCTGAGGTCGGAGGTCAAACAGAACCATCTACAGAACATGGCGGCTGTCGGAGCCCAGCGGGAGGGCATCCTGGCGGAGGTCAGCGAGCTGCTAGCGGCGTGCGACCGCGCCGAGCGGGAGACGGCGGGCGGAGGCGTGGCGTTCCTCGGGCAGGACACGGGCTGGACGCTCGCCGTGGGCACGTACAGCGGCACGGGCGCGCTCAGCCCGCGGCAGATGCAGGTCGCCACGTTCCGCCCGGCCGACAACGCCGGACTGAGCCTCGGCAGCGTCTCTGTCCCGGCTTTAACGACCGCGTCAAACTCAGCGACATCTGCAGCAGCTTCCAGCACCTCTTCTCATCCTGCAGGTCATCTGCAAGGTCATACTCAAGGTCAAGCACAGCTCCAAGGTCAAGTGATGCAAGGTCAAGTGATGCATCAAATCCAAGTCCATGGCCAGGAGCAGGGTCAAGCAAATGTTCAGGCACATGCTCAAGGTCAAACGTATTTTCAAGGTCAAATGTCTGTTCAAGGTCAAACATATGTGCAAGGTCAAATGAATGGCAATGGTCAACCACCTGCACAAGGTCAACTACATGCTCAAGGTCAAATACAGAGCCAAAGTCAAATACGTGCTCAAGGTCAAGCAGATGCCCAAGGTCAACCACAGACCCCAGTTCCCGTGGTGGGCACGTTCCAGGTGGACGGGCAGTACCGCGCACAGCGTGTGGCGTTCGGCTGGGAGGGTTCGGGTCAGGAGAAGTTCAAGACGGGACCGTTCGGGCTGGCTGTGTGGGGAGGGGAGTTGGTGGTGGAGGACCTGTGGAACAAGCGTGTACTGGTCTTCAGTCTGCAGGGCGGCTTCGTCTGCGGGTTTCACACTATACTACAGGACCAGCAGGTAAGGCTGTGTGTTTATTACTGCATGTACCATTTGGGCTGGCTGTGTGTGTGTGTGTGCGTGTGTGTGTGTACATGTGTGTGTGTGAGTGTGAGTGTGTGTGTATGTGTGTGTGTGTGTGGGTCAGTCTACTGAGGAAGACCAGAGTGACTGGTCGAAAGCTCTAGGTGAGAGAATTTTTTGTGTTGGATGTTTAACTTTAAACATGTAACTACCAACACAGATGAACTTTCATGATATTATCTGTGTCTTTTTGTCCGTTTCTTCTTCTGACATCAGGGCTTGAAGATGGAGCCGGAGAATGTAGCAGTGGATCGGGAGGGGAACCTGTGGGTGGCCGGCGGAACTGCTTCTGTGTCGTCCTCCCTTGTGCAGTACAACAAACAGGGCAGGGTGCGTGTTTGTTTGTTTGTTTTGTTTTAAGAGTCCAATACAAGAATCAAAGAAGAAGCAGGGCTTCTTAAGTTTATTCTTCTTGCACATCTATGAAAAACAACTTCAAAGACTTGTAGAAAAGCCCAAGGTGAACAGGTGGTTTCTACAGACAGGATTCTTAATGCTTGTGTCAATGGGGAAAATCATCAATGGGACAACCAACAAGTGATCACATTGTAGAGGTTGTCTTTTTATGGTTGCACTTACACAGGTTTGACTACAAAATTAATTATCCCCCTCCCCAGGTGTTGAGTACTATCGATCTCTCGTTCACCCGGAGGAAGCGAGGTCTGGCCGTGGACACCAGGAGGAACCACATCCTCGTCACACACTGTACCGAGGGCTCAGCACTTCAGCAAGATGCACGGGCGGTCCCTCAAGATGTCAGAGCTGAAGTTCAGGTCAGAAGACGTCTTAAAGCCTTTCTTTTGCTTCAGTCACTTAAACTAATGTCACTTCTTCCCTAGCCCAAGAGCTATCTCATCATCATCATCATCAAGAGCTATCTACCGCAGTACCACCTACAATTTGTGACCGTAGCATGTCTAGATCACGAGATATAAAAACCAGAAGGTGCTGCAGTACCTAGGAAAGCCGCCAGGGGGCCCAAAATTTAATCATTTCTTGGTCTCATGAAGACCTACACACCTACCAAGTTTTATAACAATCCATCTAAAGCTTCTTGACTTATCATGCTAAACCGCACACACACACACACACACACACACACACACACACACACACACACACAAACACACACACACACACCCACACACACACACACACAAATGCTACTGAAAACATAACCTTCTTGGTGAAGGTAATAAGTTGGTGTTGCTCCACCCTACAGGTGTACACGCTAGATGGGACACTGGTGAACACAGTCGGGGCTGAGCAGGGCATGATGAGTCCGTGGTACGTCACAGTGGACCACAACGATGGGAACATCCTCGTGTCCGACTTCCACAACCACTGTGTCTACGTGTACGCCGAGGACGGCAGGTTTGTTTGTTTGTGTGTTTGTTTGTTTGTTTGTTGGAGCTGAGCAGGGTATGATGAGTCCGTGGTACGTCGCAGTGGATCACAACGATGGGAACATTCTCGTGTCAGACTTCCACAACCACTGTGTCTATGTGTACGCCGAGGATGGCAGGTTTGGTTGTTTGTTTGTACATTTTTTATTGACAGGTCAGGGCTTAAAATTTAGTTCTTAGAATCTTTTGTGATAGATTGAAAGGCATAAATCCTGCTAGTACAGGTAATTTTGAATATCACCTGCATTAGTGCAAGAAATTTTTTTAAATCTTAAAAAGATATTATGAACTCAGGAGCTTCAAGTACTAGTACTATATGTGTATGTATACTAGCTGTGATACTTTCACACATCCTGTCTCCAGGTTTTTGTTCAAGTTTGGAGGGGAAGGAGACATCGAAGGTCAGCTAAAGCAGCCACGAGGGATCTGCACCGATGGGTGAGACCAACTGTCTCTTTGTTTGAGTTTTAAAAACATGACGGAAGGGGAAGCAAACCAGGTGGTTTATCACCTAATAGTTGAATAGCACATAATACCAGTAATATACACCTTAAGCTTCCAGTTCACTTCCTTGGTTTGTTGATTTCGAATAAAGATTTAGCAAATCAAGATAAAAACATGTTTGCTTTATGTTAACATCCTTAAACTGTGAGTAATAATCTTAGATTTTTCTTATAATACTACTAGTATCAAACTATTGAAGTTCAGTTTTTGCTGTAAATGCCCTTCTATTATAAAGTCTTTTCTTGCCAAATATTAAATAATTTTCCAAGCGATTTCTTTAACAGAGCGGGGAACATCATCGTGGCTGACAGCTGGAACCACCGAGTGGAGCTGTTCGACAAGACGGGAGCGTTCCTCCGACACGTCACCACGGAGATCAGGAACCCGCATGCCGTTGCCATGACAACCCTGGGGTGGCTGGTGGTGACCGGCAGTGAGAACGACACCTTCACTGTGTTCAAACCTGATTCTTGAGCAGGACAGAAAACTAACAAGTGACTGTTTTTTTTTTTATATTCCAACATGTAATCACAAGACGTGGTGACGGCACACTCAAGTTTTTTCAACTTATATTAATGCCGCCACCAACACACCAACAATACTCATTTCCACCTGAGCGAAGTGAGGAAAGTCATGTAAAGTGCCTTTCCCAAGGGCACAAGATTGGTGACATGTCAGGACTCGAACCCGGGACCTCCGGTTCCGAGTCGGGCACTCTGCCGCTACGCCACACGACCCCACCGTGGCTGTTGGTGCATCATTTGGAAAATTAACATTTTATTTTAGAGACGCCGTTATAGCGATAGGGTGTTATTTTGTAATATTATCAGACAAGTAAGTTTCATGGTTATTGAAAATATGACTAATTCTTTCAAAAATAGTTTCATCAGGTTGGTAGAGTATAGGATATAGGGGTTTTCTTTTGCACAACCAAACTATTCCTACCTTGCTTTCCTTTCGGTGTCTGTCATACCTCCAGTCAGAAGCTCTGATCACTGAGGAAGGTGTCAGAATTTTTTAGACAACAAACCCCTATATTCAGATCATAATGATAATGTTCCGGGAAAATGTTAGCTGGAAGTAGGACACTGGGACACAAAAAATAGATGGTAAACTTAGATAATAAAATCATCATATTTCAAAATGGAGTGTCCTTGCTATGATGATCAATATTAACTATAACCCACCAAACAAGCAACCAACTAACCAACAAACTCCATGCACATGACAGACCTACTACTATAATCATGGGGGAGGGAAGACTGTGACAAATTGTGCAAATGATCCATCCTTTCCTCTTCCCCTCCCCTCAAAGATTCATCTATTTTTGAAACCAATCCTCCACATATATAACCTCAACCAGCAACTCAAGGCCCCATTGCTCAAGGCCCCATATGTATGCCGTCAGCAGGCTTGTAACAACATGGACCTAAGGGGTCTTGTGATAGGCAGAAAACTTTGAAAAGTATTTCTATATTTTCACTCACATACTGATACAAGTAAACAAGTTTGTTTAGATGTTTAACTGCGTTATCCGTGAGAGGAAACATTGCAGTCCTCTTGAGCATATTTCTGCGAGGCACCCCCCAAGCATCACTGCTGGTGGTCGGACATACCGCACATTTTAGAACAGTTATGGCAGCGCCGCTCGTGAGGTATGCCATTATGGCGTTGTATATCGTGTACGCCACAGCAAGGGCAACTGGTCGTATATTACTAACAGTGGTCATGTCAAATTTGGAAAGTCGTGATCTTATGAACATAGTAAACACAGATCCTTGGGGAACATAATATTATGAACAAGGAAACTTATAAAATATTTCTAAAATTTCAATATTTCTCATATTTTCATGTGTTAATGTTATTTTTTTGTGTGTGTGTATGTATATGTATATGACAAGCTGGTGTGTTACGCCAAAGGGCGGTTATACCGGCTATACAGATACAGAAGCTGGTGTGTTATGCCAAAGGGCGGTTATACCGGCTATACAGATACAGAAGCTGGTGTGTTACACCGAAGGGCGGTTATACC